AAGGCGGGAATAAGTAACCCGGAAAATGAGGGCAGGCTTGGTTGTTTACCTTTGGTTGGGTTGAAGGGGGGAAGTGGGTGGGTTCCCACCAAGTCCGTTGAACAAAAAACCCGTTGGGGGTTCACCGGGAAAAGCCCCAAAACCTTACAAACCCTTTAAAAAGTACCGCGGCAGGGGCGAGGCTGTGTTGTTTACGTGGTGGTTGGGGGGTGAGGGGGGGGGGGAGTGTGGTGGTTCACCAGGTCCCGTGGGAACAAAAACCCGTTGGGAGGGTACACGCGGGCAGCCGCCAGGGAGCTCTTACCGGACCCGTTGGGAGGGTACACGCGGGCAGCCGCCAGGGAGCTCTTACCGGACCCGTTGGGAGGGTACACGCGGGCAGCCGCCAGGGAGCTCTTCACCGGACCCGTTGGGAGGGTACACGGGGGCAGCCGCAGGGAACTCTTACCGGACCCGTTGGGAGGGTACACGGGGGCCGCCGCCAGGGAGCTCTTACCGGACCGTTGGGAGGGTACACGCGGGCAGCCGCCAGGGAGCTCTTACCGGACCCGTTGGGAGGGTACACGCGGGCAGCCGCCAGGGAGCTCTTACCGGACCCGTTGGGAGGGTACACGCGGGCAGCCGCCAGGGAGCTCTTACCGGACCCGTTGGGAGGGTACACGGGGGCCGCCGCCAGGGAGCTCTTACCGGACCCGTTGAGAGGGTACACGGGGGCAGCCGCCAGGGAGCTCTTACCGGACCCGTTGGGAGGGTACACGCGGGCAGCCGCCAGGGAGCTCTTACCGGACCCGTTGGGAGGGTACATGCGGGCAGCCGCCAGGGAGCTCTTACCGGACCCGTTGGGAGGGTACACGGGGCAGCCGCCAGGGAGCTCTTACCGGACCGTTGGGAGGGTACACGCGGGCCGCCGCCAGGGAGCTCTTACCGGACCCGTTGGGAGGGTACACGCGGGCCGCCGCCAGGGAGCTCTTACCGGACCCGTTGGGAGGGTACACGCGGGCAGCCGCCAGGGAGCTCTTACCGGACCCGTTGGAAGGGTACACGGGGGCAGCCGCCCAGGGAGCTCTTACCGGAACCGTTGGGAGGGTACACGGGGGCAGCCGCCAGGGAGCTCTTACCGGACCCGTTGGGAGGGTACACGCGGGCCGCCGCCAGGGAGCTCTTACCGGACCCGTTGGGAGGGTACACGCGGGCAGCCGCCAGGGAGCTCTTACCGGACCCGTTGGGAGGGTACACGGGGGCAGCCGCCAGGGAGCTCTTACGGACCCGTTGGGAGGGTACACGCGGGCAGCCGCCAGGGAGCTCTTACCGGACCCGTTGGGAGGGTACACGCGGGCAGCCGCCAGGGAGCTCTTACCGGACCCGTTGGGAGGGTACACGCGGGCCGCCGCCAGGGAGCTCTTACCGGACCCGTTGGGAGGGTACACGCGGGCCGCCGCCAGGGAGCTCTTACCGGACCCGTTGGGAGGGTACACGCGGGCAGCCGCCAGGGAGCTCTTACCGGACCCGTTGGGAGGGTACCGCGGGCCGCCGCCAGGGAGCTCTACCGGACCCGTTGGGAGGGTACACGCGGGCTGCCGCCAGGGAGCTCTTACCGGACCCGTTGGGAGGGTACACGCGGGCCGCCGCCAGGGAGCTCTTACCGGACCCGTTGGGAGGGTACACGGGGGCAGCCGCCAGGGAGCTCTTACCGGACCCGTTGGGAGGGTACACGCGGGCCGCCGCCAGGGAGCTCTTACCGGACCCGTTGGGAGGGTACACGCGGGCAGCCGCCAGGGAGCTCTTACCGGACCCGTTGGGAGGGTACACGCGGGCAGCCGCCCAAGGGAGCTCTTACCGGACCCGTTGGGAGGGTACACGCGGGCAGCCGCCAGGGAGCTCTTACCGGACCCGTTGGGAGGGTACACGGGGGCAGCCGCCAGGGAGCTCTTACCGGACCCGTTGGGAGGGTACACGCGGGCCGCCGCCAGGGAGCTCTTACCGGACCCGTTGGGAGGGTACACGCGGGCAGCCGCCAGGGAGCTCTTACCGGACCCGTTGGGAGGGTACACGCGGGCAGCCGCCAGGGAGAGCTCTTACCGGACCCGTTGGGAGGGTACACGCGGGCAGCCGCCAGGGAGCTCATACCGGACCCGTTGGGAGGGTACACGGGGCAGCCGCCAGGGAGCTCTTACCGGACCCGTTGGGAGGGTACACGGGGGCAGCCGCCAGGGAGCTCATACCGGACCCGTTGGGAGGGTACACGCGGGCAGCCGCCAGGAAGCTCATACCGGACCCGTTGGGAGGGTACACGCGGGCAGCCGCCAGGGAGCTCTTACCGGACCCGTTGGGAGGGTACACGCGGGCAGCCGCCAGGGAGCTCTTACCGGACCCGTTGGGAGGGTACACGCGGGCAGCCGCCAGGGAGCTCTTACCGGACCCGTTGGGAGGGTACACGGGGGCAGCCGCCAGGGAGCTCATACCGGACCCGTTGGGAGGGTACACGCGGGCAGCCGCCAGGGAGCTCTTACCGGACCCGTTGGGAGGGTACACGCGGGCAGCCGCCAGGGAGCTCTTAACGGACCCGTTGGGAGGGTACACGGGGGCAGCCGCCAGGGAGACTCATACCGGACCCAGTTGGGAGGGTACACGCGGGCAGCCGCCAGGGAGCTCTTACCGGACCCGTTGGGAGGGTACACGCGGGCAGCCGCCAGGGAGCTCTTACCGGACCGTTGGGAGGGTACACGCGGGCAGCCGCCAGGGAGCTCTTACCGGACCCGTTGGGAGGGTACACGCGGGCAGCCGCCAGGGAGCTCTTACCGGACCCGTTGGGAGGGTACACGCGGGCAGCCGCCAGGGAGCTCTTACCGGACCCGTTGGGAGGGTACACGCGGGCAGCCGCCAGGGAGCTCTTACCGGACCCGTGGGGAGGGTACACGCGGGCAGCCGCCAGGGAGCTCTTACCGGACCCGTTGGGAGGGTACACGGGGGCAGCCGCCAGGGAGCTCATACCGGACCCGTTGGAGGGTACACGCGGGCAGCCGCCAGGGAGCTCTTACCGGACCCGTTGGGAGGGTACACGCGGGCAGCCGCCAGGGAGCTCTTAACGGACCTGTTGGGAGGGTACACGGGGGCAGCCGCCAGGGAGCTCATACCGGACCCGTTGGGAGGGTACACGCGGGCAGCCGCCAGGGAGCTCTTACCGGACCCGTTGGGAGGGTACACGCGGGCAGCCGCCAGGGAGCTCTTACCGGGACCCGTTGGGAGGGTACACGCGGGCAGCCGCCAGGGAGCTCTTACCGGACCCGTTGGGAGGGTACACGCGGGCAGCCGCCAGGGAGCTCTTACCGGACCCGTTGGGAGGGTACACGCGGGCAGCCGCCAGGGAGCTCTTACCGGACCCGTTGGGAGGGTACACGCGGGCAGCCGCCAGGGAGCTCTTACCGGACCCGTTGGGAGGGTACACACGGGCAGCCGCCAGGGAGCTCTTACCGGACCCGTTGGGAGGGTACACGGGGGCAGCCGCCAGGGAGCTCTTACCGGACCCGTTGGGAGGGTACACGCGGGCCGCCGCCAGGGAGCTCTTACCGGACCCGTTGGGAGGGTACACGCGGGCAGCCGCCAGGGAGCTCTTACCGGACCCGTTGGGAGGGTACACGCGGGCCGCCGCCAGGGAGCTCTTACCGGACCCGTTGGGAGGGTACACGCGGGCCGCCGCCAGGGAGCTCTTACCGGACCCGTTGGGAGGGTACACGCGGGCAGCCGCCAGGGAGCTCTTACCGGACCCGTTGGGAGGGTACACGCGGGCAGCCGCCAGGGAGCTCTTACCGGACCCGTGGGAGGGTACACGCGGGCAGCCGCCAGGGAGCTCTTACCGGACCCGTTGGGAGGGTACACGCGGGCAGCCGCCAGGGAGCTCTTACCGGACCCGTTGGGAGGGTACACGCGGGCAGCCGCCAGGGAGCTCTTACCGGACCCGTTGGGAGGGTACACGCGGGCAGCCGCCAGGGAGCTCTTACCGGACCCGTTGGGAGGGTACCGCGGGCAGCCGCCAGGGAGCTCTTACCGGACCCGTTGGGAGGGTACACGGGGGGGCAGCCGCCAGGGAGCTCTTACCGGACCCGTTGGGAGGGTACACGGGGGCAGCCGCCAGGGAGCTCTTACCGGACCGTGGGAGGGTACACGGGGGCAGCCGCCAGGGAGCTCATACCGGACCCGTTGGGAGGGTACACGCGGGCAGCCGCCAGGGAGCTCTTACCGGACCCGTTGGGAGGGTACACGGGGGCAGCCGCCAGGGAGCTCTTACCGGACCCGTTGGGAGGGTACACGCGGGCAGCCGCCAGGGAGCTCTTACCGGACCCGTTGGGAGGGTACACGCGGGCAGCCGCCAGGGAGCTCTTACCGGACCCGTTGAGAGGGTACACGCGGGCAGCCGCCAGGGAGCTCTTACCGGACCCGTTGGGAGGGTACACGGGGGCAGCCGCCAGGGAGCTCTTACGGACCCGTTGGGAGGGTACACGCGGGCAGCCGCCTCTCACCACCCCCCCACGTTGAGGGGGCGGGGGCCTCGCTCATCCCTCTCGCGGCGTACTGGCGTGGCCTCTGGTCTCGCGGCGTACAGGCGTGGCCTCTGGTCTCGCGGCGTACAGGCGTGGCCTCTGGTCTCGCGGCGTACAGGCGTGGCCTCTGGTCTCGCGGCGTACTGGCGTGGCCTCTGGTCTCGCGGCGTACTGTTGTGGCCTCTGGTCTCGCGGCGTACAGGCGTGGCCTCTGGTCTCGCGGCGTACTTGCGTGGCCTCTGGTCTCGCGGCGTACTGGCGTGGCCTCTGGTCTCGCGGCGTACTGGCGTGGCCTCTGGTCTCGCGGCGTACAGGCGTGGCCTCTGGTCTCGCGGCGTACAGGCGTGGCCTCTGGTCTCGCGGCGTACTGGCGTGGCCTCTGGTCTCGCGGCGTACTGGCGTGGCCTCTGGTCTCGCGGCGTACAGGCGTGGCCTCTGGTCTCGCGGCGTACAGGCGTGGCCTCTTTTCTCGCGGCGTACTGTTGTGGCCTCTGGTCTCGCGGCGTACTGGCGTGGCCTCTGGTCTCGCGGCGTACTGTTGTGGCCTCTGGTCTCGCGGCGTACTGGCGTGGCCTCTGGTCTCGCGGCGTACTGTTGTGGCCTCTGGTCTCGCGGCGTACAGGCGTGGCCTCTGGTCTCGCGGCGTACTGGCGTGGCCTCTGGTCTCGCGGCGTACAGGCGTGGCCTCTGGTCTCGCGGCGTACAGGCGTGGCCTCTTTTCTCGCGGCGTACTGTTGTGGCCTCTGGTCTCGCGGCGTACTGGCGTGGCCTCTGGTCTCGCGGCGTACTGTTGTGGCCTCTGGTCTCGCGGCGTACTGGCGTGGCCTCTGGTCTCGCGGCGTACTGGCGTGGCCTCTGGTCTCGCGGCGTACAGGCGTGGCCTCTGGTCTCGCGGCGTACAGGCGTGGCTCTGGTCTCGCGGCGTACTGGCGTGGCCTCTGGTCTCGCGGCGTACAGGCGTGGCCTCTGGTCTCGCGGCGTACTGGCGTGGCCTCTGGTCTCGCGGCGTACTGTTGTGGCCTCTGGTCTCGCGGCGTACAGGCGTGGCCTCTGGTCTCGCGGCGTACAGGCGTGGCCTCTGGTCTCGCGGCGTACAGGCGTGGCCTCTGGTCTCGCGGCGTACTGGCGTGGCCTCTGGTCTCGCGGCGTACAGGCATGGCCTCTGGTCTCGCGGCGTACTGGCGTGGCCTCTGGTCTCGCGGCGTACTGGCGTGGCCTCTGGTCTCGCGGCGTACTGGCGTGGCCTCTGGTCTCGCGGCGTACAGGCGTGGCCTCTGGTCTCGCGGCGTACTGGCGTGGCCTCTGGTCTCGCGGCGTACTGTTGTGGCCTCTGGTCTCGCGGCGTACAGGCGTGGCCTCTGGTCTCGCGGCGTACAGGCGTGGCCTCTGGTCTCGCGGCGTACAGGCGTGGCCTCTGGTCTCGCGGCGTACAGGCGTGGCCTCTGGTCTCGCGGCGTACAGGCGTGGCCTCTGGTTCTCGCGGCGTACAGGCGTGGCCTCTGGTCTCGCGGCGTACAGGCGTGGCCTCTGGTCTCGCGGCGTACAGGCGTGGCCTCTGGTCTCGCGGCGTACAGGCGTGGCCTCTGGTCTCGCGGCGTACAGGCGTGGCCTCTGGTCTCGCGGCGTACAGGCGTGGCCTCTGGTCTCGCGGCGTACAGGCGTGGCCTCTGGTCTCGCGGCGTACAGGCGTGGCCTCTGGTCTCGCGGCGTACAGGCGTGGCCTCTGGTCTCGCGGCGTACAGGCGTGGCCTCTGGTCTGCGGCGTATTGGCGTGGCCTCTGGTCTCGCGGCGTACAGGCGTGGCCTCTGGTCTCGCGGCGTACAGGCGTGGCCTCTGGTTCTCGCGGCGTACTGGCGTGGCCTCTGGTCTCGCGGCGTACAGGCGTGGCCTCTGGTCTCGCGGCGTACAGGCGCGGCCTCTGGTCTCGCGGCGTACAGGCGTGGCCTCTGGTCTCGCGGCGTACAGGCGTGGCCTCTGGTCTCGCGGCGTACAGGCGTGGCCTCTGGTCTCGCGGCGTACTGGCGTGGCCTCTGGTCTCGCGGCGTACTGGCGTGGCCTCTGGTCTCGCGGCGTACTGGCGTGGCCTCTGGTCTCGCGGCGTACTGGCGTGGCCTCTGGTCTCGCGGCGTACAGGCGTGGCCTCTGGTCTCGCGGCGTACTGGCGTGGCCTCTGGTCTCGCGGCGTACTGGCGTGGCCTCTGGTCTCGCGGCGTACTGGCGTGGCCTCTGGTCTCGCGGCGTACTGGCGTGGCCTCTGGTCTCGCGGCGTACAGGCGTGGCCTCTGGTCTCGCGGCGTACAGGCGTGGCCTCTGGTCTCGCGGCGTACAGGCGTGGCCTCTGGTCTCGCGGCGTACAGGCGTGGCCTCTGGTCTCGCGGCGTACAGGCGTGGCCTCTGGTCTCGCGGCGTACAGGCGTGGCCTCTGGTCTCGCGGCGTACAGGCGTGGCCTCTGGTCTCGCGGCGTACAGGCGTGGCCTCTGGTCTCGCGGCGTACAGGCGTGGCCTCTGGTCTCGCGGCGTACAGGCGTGGCCTCTGGTCTCGCGGCGTACTGGCGTGGCCTCTGGTCTCGCGGCGTACTGGCGTGGCCTCTGGTCTCGCGGCGTACTGGCGTGGCCTCTGGTCTCGCGGCGTACTGGCGTGGCCTCTGGTCTCGCGGCGTACAGGCGTGGCCTCTGGTCTCGCGGCGTACAGGCGTGGCCTCTGGTCTCGCGGCGTACAGGCGTGGCCTCTGGCCTCGCTGCCTGCCGTTGTGCCGAGAACCCAGAAACTGTTGGCTGGGAGTTCATAATCCTGCTTTAAACTTTAGTTTGAGATCTTGTGTCCAGTATTTGCAATATATTAGTCATTCGGTAAGAGATGCCTTTAGTTTTATAGTTGCAATTATATAAATTTAAATCGTCATGTAATACTGCTGACCTGTCTATGTATTGTCTATGTATGCCGTATATGTTCTCTGTATTCTGAATTCCCTCTTTCAGCAATCTCTCCTGCTCTTAAGGGGGAAGTGAGTACTGAGCAGTACTCAAGCCGGGACAAACACAAGTGACTTTAAGAGTACAACCATTGTGATGGGATCCCTGGATTTGAAAGTTCTCGTAATCCATCCTATAATTGTTCTAGTTGAAGCAATATTTGCTTGGTTATTCTCCCTAAACGTTAGGTCGTCGGACATCATTATTCTCAAATCCTTTACAATGTTGTTTACCTATTATGGGCAGATTTGATTGTGTTTTGTACCATGTATTATGTTTAAGATCCTCATTTTTGCCGTACCTGAGTACCTGGAATTTATCACTGTTAAACATCATGTCATTTCTGCTGACCAGTCGAAATGTGTGGCCACCCAGTGGCGTACATGGGGCGTACCACGTACATGGGGCGTACCTTATTATTATTAACATCTTTATTGACAAAATTAATTACAATTTTGCCTAATCTGAGGATTTAG